CCAATCATCCATCCAATCATCCATCCAATCATCCATCCAATCATCCACTAAATCGTCAAATTCTCCAGGTCCCTAGCTTCATGCCTATCTCTCTACCTTCGTTCGTTCTTCAATAATCGTTTCGTCATAATTTCAGCTCCAATAAATCTCTGGCTGACTCACTTGACGAGTGCATTGATCCACAGGATCCCAACTTTAACAAGGTACCCGGCCTTAAACATATTTGTATGATGTTTAGAAAAATATTCTTAAGTTGTTCTCAAGCCTTTGGGTAGGAGTGAGGCTAAAGATGACCCTGATATGATAGAGATGCATTGTTTTTCAGCATAACAGAAGGGTGATTTCCCTATGAACTACCACAACATAATCACACTAATAGCTTCAGGAAGATTGTTTATTTTTACCTCGACTCCCCATTGGCTCCTCGAGGTGTTCATCTTCTTTCTGATTGGCTGTGTTAATTGCTGTAATTTGGTTTTCAGGCTAATGCGCTCTTTTGATTTTTGTTTTGTCTTTTTTTTTTTTTTCAGTTGGTCCGTTCTCTTGCAACTCAAGCCATGTCAAATGCCCTTTACTTCTCGACTGGTTCGTTATCTCCAGAAAATTTTTTTCACTATGGTCTCGCCTTGGATCATTACACGCATTTCACTTCACCGATAAGGAGATATGCGGACGTCATCGTAAGTTTGTAAATTTTGTTTTTCATTTTTTGCTTAACGTGCCGTCTCTTTACCGGGCCTCTTGCAAACCGAAAGTTTCATTTGATTGGTAGCTGACACGACTGAGTTACTTCCGACAGGAACATAGCTGAGCCATGATTTCAGTCATTACAACCTCTAAATTAGTCTTCCTCTTTAGGCTTGCTATTTTCAGTGAGGTCTCCTAAGGTTTGCTATTTTCGGGGGGATTTTTAAGGCTGGCTGTGAGGCCTGCAAAGGACTAGCAGTCACTTCATCCAACAGATACCTGGGAATAAACTCTAGCGCCATCTGAGGCACTTGGCTCGAGTGCAGACTTAACCTTTTCACAATTACAGCCAATGACTGTTCTCTCTCGTTCAAGAGGCTCAGCAAGAGAGAAACATCTTGGATCGATCTTTTTGATTTGGGATAATCTGTTTGTCATCTATGAATAATTGTGTGAATTTTTATTTTCTCGTGATATAGTTGAAAGATTGTTGTGGTCTTTAACAAGAGGAAGAGTAAATAAACTTTAGGGGCGCCGATAAAATACTTCCACTTGTGATCAATTTATTCAATACAACAGATCACTGAAACATGAGAAACTGCTGCTTCTCCGTTTTAAAAGCCGTGGAGAAAATCCACCTTTAGCGGTTGATGACCCTCTATTCTGAATCTCAACTTTCTAATTTCTAGTTGGGTAAATACTATAATTTCTCCGTTTATGAATGTTAAGAGAATTGCACAAGTTAAGTTTTTAGTTACCATAGAAGTATAAAATGACTAGGTGATGGTATGGTCATTAAATCCAAATCTTTTTCCCTTTGCCTTTATGGAGTTTTGTTATCAACAGGTTCACCGACTCCTTATGGCAGCAGTTGAAAATGACAGTAATAACCAACTACCAAACAACAAAGAACTTCACGAGACTTGTCATCATATCAATATTAAACACAGGGTATGGATTTCGTTCGTTATAAACCGCTATATCGTCTTTGTAGCCCGTCAGGCGAGTAAACGAGAGCTCCATGTCTGTGATTTTTTTCCTTGAAAATTTACAGTCACAGTCTTGTGTGCACTTGAGTGAAAAAAACGCATTTTCCACCGGTTGATCGGAATAAAGTTGGAAGAACACGGAATACTTCTGAGGAGTGTATGTTTCTTTCCATGTTTCATCTGTTAGGTTTTTGATCAATAAGATTGTGCGTAGTACATGTACCTAGCTTTTTTGTAAACCGGTTGTCATTAAACAAAAATTTCCTCAAAGAATTTTAGCCGTTAACAAACCATAATTTCATATGTGTTGTTACACCTGTATGGAGAAAGTTGCTATTCCCTCCTTGTCTTTTAACAGGGCTAATTTCTCTAAATATGATGTTATAAACTTCTACGCTTTTTTCTTGTTAGGCTGCTCAGAACGCCCAGAAGGAATCTGTGGACCTTTTTCAATGCTTGTTTTTTCAAGATTTATCTGAAGACGATGAGAGACGGAACTGTGACGCTGTTATTTTCAACCTCAGAGCCAATGGGTTCCTAGTATTTGTTCCTCGGTAAATATTGATATGCGTCTTCATAGTCCATGAAACTAGAGATGACTTGTAACTCTCCTTGGTGTTGCTTGTATTAAGGAATAGAAGTAGATGTACTCCTACAAATATCCGGTGCTGATACAGTTCCTTATTTACTTGTCTAGGAAGTTTGGTATTGTATCCAATTTATCATCCTGATAGCTGTTAACTTCTTTCATTCTCACTAATGGTCTGCCGACGAGTTTCTCGAAAAAAAAAAAAAAAAACAGGGAAGAGGCGGGTTTTAATTCTTTACGAACCAACACTTTATTCTTATATTTTAATGCCTCTCAATGTGGTCCTGAACTTTAAATCAACAGCAGGTTTTCCACTCGGTTTAGAACAGTATAAACATGTCCAATATCAGGAAATCGAAGTACAAACGTTTTAGTAAGGTTCACTAGCTCAGTGTTTTTTTTTCATAGTTAAAGATTACCCTATATTATAACTTTGTTAAAGTAATTATCTTTTTTTTTTTTTGTGATTGTTTCCCTTTTCAGATATGGTTTAAAAGGTCCAGTTTATCTCAAGGACAAAATGGGACAAGTAGTAACTTCTCGTATAACAGAGGATTCGGTGTTTTTTGGCCCAGGTCAGTAAAGTCGTCCTTCAGCCCCGTCAAGGTATAACGGTGTGTAGCGGTGAGCTGATGAGACCTCCTCTGATTTGCGTCATTTCCTAGTTTTTTTTGTTTTTTTTTCTTGGCGTTCTTGTTAACTCGCCTAATGAAAAACCACCAGTGGCTAAAGTACAGTGTTTCTCTGAACAATTTTGGAGCGGGAATCTTCTAAGCAGCAGTGGTTTCAACATCCGTTGACCATGAATCTTTCAAAAATGTCGTTCAAAACTCTACCTTTCTTCTTTTTTTTCCGAGTTTGGAAGACCTTGCTGTCTGGGCTAGGTACGCGAAGTGGCTTCCGGACCATGATATCCGGGTTTTAACCCTGAACGGGTCACTGTGTTTTTGGACAACACTCTCAAAGTGCCACCCCCCCACCTAGGAACATAAAGGGGTCCCTTTCCTCTTTTTCTAACCTCACACTCTATGTAGTCGTCATGTTGAATGAAAAAAAAAATTAAATATACCGCATGAATAGTTGACAGACGTACCTTACAGACTGAACGTCCATAGAGATATGAAACTGACTTTTGTTTCAATTTTTCACCCTCATAGGATCGCTTTCCCGTCACGAGTTTCACATTACAGTCAAGAATGCAGCGGGATCCTTTGATTTTCGACTATTTGATCACGTCCAGGTTTGTTTAAACTCTTTATCACCCTTAATTTTATAGGGCCAAATTCAAAGCAAGATTAAGCTAAGCCTGTGTTAGAGTAATTTTTTTTATGTAATTGTATAGTTCACCAGACATCTTTTTTGTTTAAATTTTGTCGCCCTCAGCCTAATCCTGTCTTAAAATGTTGTTCGCAGCAATGTACTTTACTTTTGTGTACGAAAAAGGTTAAAGCATTCTAACCCCGGTTTAGGTCTAAAAGCATTTCTTACAACTCACTTCTACATAAAAGTTTTTTTTTTTTCGGAATATCTCAATTAGTTATTTTTAAGGTACGAATTTCCGTCGCTAAAGCCCGTGCGCATGCTCAGTCTTTGAAACTGGACCTACTGTCTCTGGAAACGAGACAGACTCCGCCACTGGGTGAAATAGAGACTCAAGATGAAGTTTCCCATAAGATGCAAAGAAGTGAACTTGTTAAGGTATCTGTTGAGATGATTCTCCACAATTTTTATTCATCGTTTTGTCTCGTATGGGATTAACTTACATAACTACTGTTTTTGTGTATGTTAGGAAGTAAAGTCAAGTCGAAATGACCAAGACAAAGTTAGTGGAACCCAAAAACTTGACGGCGACTTTGCTAAACTCAAATCCGAGTTTGGCCAAACGCACGAGAGCGTGAGCCTATACTGTCTAATGCAGTTCTTGAGAGAAATGTCGCTGAGAGATGATGGTGGTTAAGGAGACATGATGGCCGTAAATTTTCCCGTTAGACTTTTCTGCCACTAAAGCTTTTAGGCAATAACATTACTAAATACACCAAGTCTAGCTAGAAATCTAAAAAAAAACAAACAAACAAACAAACAAACAAACAAAAATAACACTTCAACCCGGAGAGAATACTGATTATGCTAAAAGTATAAGCAGTTGTAGGGGTGGGAACGACTGCACATGGAACATCGGCAGTGGCAGCTACAGTAACCAGAATTGTGGCAAGTTATGCACAGAGTCTAGTAGCACCTGATCGTTATTTACCCATGGTCACTTAGCCTGCAGAACAGGCGATACTTGTTTATTTGTTTTATTTGCATTTCTCAAGCGAAAAACAAGTTATGCACAGACCACTTGAGTGTTATTTTTATCCATGGTCTCCCAGCCTGCAGAACAGATGTCATTTGTTTTGCGTTTTTCAGGCGAACGCAGGCAAGCACGAGGCGAGCGCGAAGCGCAAATCATGAGAGAAGAGGGGGGAGCACGAAAAAAAAATGACGTCTGTTCGCACACCATTGTTCAAGCTGTCCGGCAATCAGATATGAACGCCGCTACCCAATTAGTTACCTGCTGAAGCGCAAATAGTGCGAAAGTGATGCATCGCTGTCGAAAATTCTCTTAACCCCTTCTTGTTAAATAGAGACCAAGTAAACGCAGAAAAACTCTTCTGTTATTCACTTGTCTTAGGCGGAACATCGTAAGTTTGTAATGTATAAAGCTAAACTTGGAAGGGTACATTTTCTCGACATCAGGTAAAGTTGTATGTCACTGCCTAACATACTGCTTACATGTATAATTCTCGCTCCTTTAATTTTTAATAAAGATGAATCACTTGGAATTTTTTTAACAATCTGTTTTTTTTTTTTGTTTTTTTTTTTCTTATCATTAGTTTTACTTTGCGGTTTTTTTTCGATCGCTGAAACTTCATGAAATGAAAATTTGCTTTACTCCTAGAAGTGCAATCGCTTGTTTACGTGGAGAGGGCCAAGTATTACGAGTGTTCATAAAATTCAGTTTTCTCGATTCTTTACTCAATTAGGACAAACTCTCTAGAGTAATATCCTAAGAATCGTGTGGAAGACAATAAGAAGGATTATCAGTGGAATCGTCGGAGTGAATTAGTTAAAACGTTCAATTGATTTGCATTATCTCTCTTAAATGACGCACTATCAAGGCTTCACGACTGAGTTTAAAACTTTTTCTCTCCATTTGCACTCTTTACAAATGTTCAATTTATTCTCCATAGTTGTAAAGTTTCTTCTTTTAAGCTATAGGCTTCGCAGCGGAGTTAAAAACTATAATAGGTGCTTTCTCTCTATGGCTACTCTTTGTACGAATTTTGACATTTTTCCGTTCAGAAATTGTAAAGTCATTCTCAAAAGTTTATTCTTGTCATTTTTTTAAGCTCTTTTTTTACGTCTCTCTTATATACCGCATAAGCTAAAGGATTTACAGCTGAGTTTAAAACTGTAATGAGTATTTTTACACTAAGAATATCACAATCGATCTTGCCATGACTAAGAGAACTGAGCCCACAGTGGAACCTGATTGCGCTGCACAGCAGGAACACCCCTATAACGATGGCCATTATCTTAACAGCGGCATTATCTTGAGGTCGATAACAAACCGGTGCGTTGAAACGTATTTGTTTTAAAAGCGTGCGCATCTGTCGACCGTGCTTACAAATAACACTGAGCATACATGCGAAGCAGGAGACCAACATGACACATGGGACTAGTTTAAAAGTGAACGTGTCCAACCAAATAAAGATGTTATCGAGATGACGCACGTGTAAGGCAAAGTGGAGAGATGCTCTCACCGCGATAAAAGCTGCCGGAAAGGCCCAAGACAAGAAAACCATTTGGATGACTCGGCCACGCGTCATAATTGTCATGTACTTTAATGGCTTCACGACGGCCACGAAGCGATCCAATACCAGACTGCACAAATTCGTCACTGATGCTCTCACAAAAATTAACCTCACGTACAGCTGGATCTTCTGAGTTTCTGAATCTTTTTCTTTTAAGATGAATAACATAGGAACAACGGTCATCCCAACACAGAAGTCAGCCACGGCTAAGGACGCCACAAACGCGTTGGTTTTGGTGCGAAGCTGCCTTCGTTTACAAATCAGGAACGTAATAAAGCTATTCCCAGTAATGGTGAGGATTGAAAGAAACCAACCAAGAATCCAAAACCACGTTTTCATATTTTAACTAGACGGTGGTAAACCTTGTCCTGCTTTTTGTCGGGAATATACAGCCTTTTAACACGGAAGTTATATTCGCCCGCTGAATATCGGTTTCATAGTTGAACAATCTCCCAGTTCATTAATCGAGGATGTTCATTTCCTCATATGTATACAAGTTGTTAGCTTCGCCTTGCGGGTTGTTTTAAAAAAAATCCTTATACCAGGTCACGTATCAATACTCTCGCTTGTCACTTTTGATAAAGACATCTTAGGGATATCGATAATTTTTTTCAATCTAAAAGTGGTGCCAAGTTTCCAAAATATAGTGGCAAAAATTTCTTATCAGAGGAAAGAATCGGAGATTAGAAGTGTCTTTCTATGATTTTTTTCAAAACCTTTTTTTTTCTCGATTGTCAAAAGTTGGTAAGCTTAACGTCTCGATATTGATGTGTGGTTTAACTTGGAGACGTGTAAATAACTCATTAAGCGGATATGCCTCGAGATCTTGCATTTAGCTTGTCGACTTATGGCAGGTCCCTTTGTGATTTCAGGAAACATTTATTCCAATTAGAAAAGAAAGGTAAATCTCATTCATTCGTATTGTCTCTGTCTTTTTCTGTTCACACTTTCGACATAACTTATCGAAGTTGTCTTCAGGATACCTGTCACATATATAGCTCATAGTGGCGTAGCTCATCGAGGAGTTTCTGTGGCTGAGTTAACATCAGGGTGCGAAGTCCGAAAGTCTCATGGGGACTCAGATTGTTTTTTTTCCTTTGTACCGGCGCGTTCGAGACAAGATGTCTAATAATTTTCCTTCACAACCTTTTAAATTGATCTATCTATTTTTCCCTCTTATGATTTTTAACTCGTAGGACTACTGTAGCTCGACACGCGATGCGGCTGGTCTACTCGTCGATAAGAAGTGAATGTTCATGTTGCTTTCTTCTTGTATGATAGAATGACAGCGCTTTGAATTCATTTTGCGTGCTTTTAATCTTGATTATCCTTTATGAGAGAGTAACAATGCGTCAATTACATCATGTTTTTTTCTTTCACCGATAAATTACAATGTATCATCATCAGTTTTCTGTTCTTTTTTTTTTTTTTTATGCTCCCCTCCGTAAGAGGATAACGAACAGTTATTCATTTATTCACGCATTTTCAGTTATTTCTTATTCATTACAGAGATCTACTGCTTTTAACGATATTAGTCCTCAAAACTAGCACTTAGTAAAATATAGAAGCTGTGAATGTTTTCCTCTTGTCACATACCAATCTGTCACTCAAAATGCTTTTAATTAAGCTTGATTCTTGATTACTTGGCTA